GCAAATGATCTTTTTTGTTTAGCAAAAATTTTTTTTTTTGAAAATTTTCTCTAGTCTCTTGTTCTGCCGTTGAAACCATTCCCTTGCATCTACTATTATTTTTAAGCCATGTTCTAAAACGCGGCCTCCGCAGCTGTTGCAGCGTCGATTATCTGGTCGGCGGCTGTAAGGCCCCTGATCATTTATAGATCGGAAACACTACTGACGAACACTTAGATGTCCGTTCAGAGGTTCCTGGAACATATTCAAATTCTTTAGACAAGACTTTTAAGCGTCCATCCCCATTAGATACATCTCAAGGCTTGCCAACCCGAGACATACACAATGGTTAGTTCGTCCGGACAAGGACTAGTATCACATGAAACCCGAATTCATGCCAACTCGATTTTCTTTTATATATAATTTATACATAAGTTTTAAACATGATACAAGCATATACAATTGTGAGTCTAACATTCCAAAAAGATCATGTACATAATAAACATTATTCATTTACAAAAGGCAAGGAAATCTACTGCTGAATTTCCTAACGTTCCTTTGGCTCCCGGTGGTCTACCCGCTAATGGTTACCTGCAACACAAGTAGAGTCGTGAGCACTAGTTGCTCAGTGAGTCTAGGCTCCCCTAACATTCAATAATCAATTCCCAACCAAACCCAAAATAACGATCAACACGCAAGCAAGCAAATCTAACAAAAAAAATGCGATAAGTTATGCAATGTCAATATAAGGCCTTTCGCGTAGACTATTTCCCTTCACGTCAAATCACAAGGTATCCTTCAGCCCGAAGCCACATAGGCTAAGGACTTAAGATTCTTCACCGTTCCAATGGCCTTATGTGTATAAGGATCCGCACCGAAAATTCTGCATCGTCATGCAGTACACGGCCAAAGGCTGCAATCCCGTCTCTCCGTGTCTTCATGTACTTAGACTAATACTCAACGTACTAGCTAAGTCATGGCTTTCAAGGGAACGTCTTACCGCGATCATCATAATTTATAAGTCTTACTATCAACTTAGGTTATAAGAAAACTTATAAATATGCATCAACAATCCAACTTAGTAATTTTCACATGCTAAAACTTTTAAGTACTTAGCAAAAATATATATCACGCAGCAACGAACCTCACTTGTAATTTAATTAAACACGCAACAAGTATCACCGAGACTCACCTTTGACTAAGTGAAAGGTCGCGGTTTTACCCAAGGTTTCCTACTCTCAA